AACGAGGCGGCAGTCGTGAGGCGATGGCAAAACGAACCGAGACATATAAAACCCCGGAAACCGGGATAAATCGCGGAGCAATATCGAAGGAACCAATATACTCAATGTATCCCGTAGGACATCGTATCCGCCGGCTTGCACCCCCTTCGGATCTATGTCCAATCATGAAAAAGAACGAACTATATAGTAGTAAACGACTGTTTCATCATCGCGTTTACCTCACAGCATTGCAGATACCTGTTTAATCTCGCTTATCAAACAATTACGGTTCAACCTGTGAGAGCGTGATAATGATTCATCGACCTCGAGCCAGCTGTTGAATTTAGCCTGCGAATATAATCCCCTAATTGCAATTTAGCATCGCATAAGATTCGGACGAATAAATAATATTGTTATTAATATAATCGTAATGTGTTTATACGTAATTAATAGTTATTACTACTAATACACTAGTATAGATAGAATAATATATTTATTCATAATTTATTATTATGTGTGATTATTATGTTACATATCTCCCTTCTATCTATATATCTATCTATAAAAAATAAGACTTTGGTATTTAACGATGCCACTCATCTTTAAGTGGTTATTACTTGAAAATGTGTTAATTGGCATGAGAAAATATTGAAGGAACACTTCTCTTGCTTGGGTACGCAAGAAACAACAGTTTTCTCTGAAAGAGATATAAAAGCTTTGGGAAATATATCAGGGGACTTGTATAAACTATTCAGAGGGTTGATCTTTGATAAGTAACTGACACTATTAATTTTGCAACTAAACAGCAAACAACATCAATGAAAAGAGGAAAGAAATGCGGAATTACATATCGAAATAAATAAACAAAATTAATTGTTTCAAGAAAGGGGAAAGGTTAGCGGAGATGAAAACGAATTTATCTGCTCCACTTCCCCGAGATTCGATGTTTAATCCGATAGACACTGAATCGCGCTTTGCGTTCACGGATCATCGTGCAAAAGCGTTCTTATAGCGCAATTAAATGTCGCATTAATTTGTAATATCATTTACCGCGCCGTTATTAATTAGTTATGAGCGCTCCCTTTGCCCTTCGCGAAACCGTGTATTTTTAGTATTAATAATCGTGTGTTTGTACAGTACTCGCACGTGTGTGCTCGCGTTAAACTGTGTGCCGCTTTCCGCTAAAACTATGTGGAAAGTGTAATTAAAATGAATCAGCTTGTGACAGCGCGATGGCGAGCGACGACGGTGAATGTAACGGCGCGCGAGGACTGTTCTATTACATTCGTTTCCGTTTTCCCGGATTATGTTTTCTCGATTTTCGCATAAGCCACAGAGGATTAAAGCGCGCGTGCGGGAGTGACGCGTGAATTGTCGTCTAAATACTTCTGACTCGCGGCGTTAACATATCGGTAAAGTGTTAAAGGTTGAATTTGCACAATAAGCGGTGACGCGATTTATCGGATTATCGCTATCGATCGGCACAAATAAATTTTATTATTTATGCCGCTCGGTAACAGGACTGGCCGATCGATCGTGACGCGCGCTAAGCGATATACAAGTGTATAATACATATATATTTTGTTACTGGCGAAGATTGATCGTGTCCGTTAAATAAAGCATAAAACAATATCACGGCGAAATTGTTGCCCCCTTTTAATTGAAAAACGTATTTTTTTTAATCACTCCAAATGTTCTGTGTTTTGTTCGGTGCAGAATTTAATAGAAAGATAACGATGAAGCTCTATATTACATCAATTTACATCAATTCAACAGCACTTCCGTTAAATCGTAAATCACCAGCGAGATAACGGACGTGTCTCTGACTAACGAGATGACTGATTGTTAAAACAGTTTCCGAACGCGTCAATTTGCAATAAACTTCTTTAATATCATCACGAGTTGCTTATCTCTGCGAAGATAAGAACGTCAAACGTCTCGCGTAATTTCCGCTATCGCTCGTCACGCGAGATCGCTCCTCGCGGCCGTGAATCGGCAGAATGCCGATTGTCGTAATACCGGAGACGGATGTCGCAACACACGCGCCGAAAGTGAAGAAGCGTACGTCAAAGCTGAATAAGTAAACGGGGAAAAAGTTCGGCCGGATACCGGATTTCCTGAAAGCGCGCAATCTCGGATCTTTGATATCAAAAGCAAGAGAAATTCCGCGTGTCTCGAGATCACACTTACTTGTTGAATTCACAGAGCTTCCGTGGGAGATCCCGGGCCCGGGTGAAATCCCTCGAGAAAGCGGAGCCGATACCCTTCCCGCGACTATCTGCCGAGAGAAGAACGAAAGGCGCGCGCGAGGAGCGCCAAGTTTCCCCTCCTCTTGGGGAGAGACGCGGAGGGCGCGAAGAGGGCGATCTCCCGCCGACGAGACTTCCGGCTTCGTGCGAGTCGTCGATGTGTGGGGTGGACCGTTCGAGTCGAACTGACCGGGAGGGAGTTAAAGTCCGAGGTAGCGGTGGCCGGCGTGTGGATGACGAGTATACCTGGACGGGGGCGGCTTTTAACAGGTGGCACGCGCGCAAACGGGAGTTCCTCACGGTCCAGAGTGCTAACGACGTGTGACGTCGACGCCACGGTGCGAGAGGGCTTTTATAGCCGGTCGGTGCCGGCCGACCCGACTCGAACCGTCTCCACTCGACTCGGCGCGACCTTCCTGCCTCCTGCCTGCCCAGAGACTCTTGGCCCTATCAACTGATTTGCCGTTACATCTTCCACACACCCGTATGGTGGAACTGCCGTCCCCATTCGCGCCTCCCTTGTTCTCCATATGGGGAAAAGAACTCGTAAAGCGGATGTCGTTTATCGATGCATCGTTCGTTTCCAAGCACCCTACGCCCCTGTCACTCGATTATCCCGCAAAATTACTAGGGACTGAAAGAAATGTCCTTTAAATAGCACAGAACCTTTTATCCTTGTTATATCGTAGTTATTGCTTTGCTCTGAGAGAGGTTTTTTTTTATATTTATGTTATTAGTCTCGAAAATGTTATACGTGTTTTATTGGAAAAGAAATTGTTATTTATTGTGCACAAAGTATTAATTTACATGTTATTAATATGTAAAAAATTACGTATTAATAAAAATAATGATTGAACACATATACATATTTTAACATACATAGCAGTTTTTTATTTCTCTCTCTTATAAAAAAAGCATTAGTTAAAAAGCGCCAATATATCAGGGAATAATTTAAAAAACTAATCAAGTCCACTCGAGTTAATAAACAGCGCAAATCATGTGCCGTTTTAACTATTCAAACTTTTAATTATTCAAATAATCTGTAGGGAAATCATAGAAGATAATTATTATACGATAATTTATTAATGCACCTATTTATTGCACATCTATCCCAAATCTGTATTATTTAACAAAGGAGAGCTCTCACATATAATTTATTTCAATATTACGTTATATTAATTAATTGCACTTATATAGTTTTCCTACGCTTGTTCATTATTTATTTATTACCTCATTTACTTGGGCATTTAAGCAAGCTAGATTATACGTAAGCTGCTTGTTTCTTTTCAGAAATATTTAGATACCGCTTGAAATGGAAATGGAATATCAGATTAAGCTTGTTAAGCTTTCCAGCAAGCGACACAAGTATCGTTTTATCTTTGTTACTTATTGCCAAAAAAAGAGAAATAAAGCTACATTTGTGTCGACTTGTGTCGCTTGCTGGAAAGCTCCCATCAATAATGTGGAAAGAAATTGCCAAAACGAGATGAAAAGAATGTGATAAGTACATCTCTTTCTTCTCCGGTTACTTTCATTTGCCATTCACTAACAATATCCGAAAAAATAGCCGCGGCGTATAATAACTTATTGTTAAAAAAAATGTTTCTTACTTCAGAGAGTAAGCGATCCCAATATAAAATATAAAGGAGCAATCTCTGTATAAAGAAACAGATTGAGACGTTAATTATTGACAAGAATGTAAAGATTATAAAGTTACACACATTGCGAATTACTTAAATTCACGAGAAGTACTTTTTATCGTCTTTGCCGCAAAAAACACACGATTCGCTGAATGGTACTCTTTCAATCGCCACAAATCCACAGATAACATAAAAAATATTGATTAATATTTATATCACGATATGCATTGTGATATTATCTATATAAACGGCTGCTAGTGGTTATAATTATGAAAATGTAACATCTGCACAAGCGCGAAACTTTCGATAATGAAGTTAACCGGAATTATGCGAGGATTCGTTCCAGTCATAATTATATTCTGAATATGGTAATGGAACATCCTACTTGTTGCCGTAGATTTTATTACCTATAACATTTTCCATCACACGTAAATATATTCGAGAAGCCTGCGTGTGTCTCGTGCACAATAACGCACAAATCTGACAATTTGTATAAAATATTTAATATACTCTAACGGTATTTAAAGATATGTTTAAAAATATTACGTTTGGGGAGTATTCCCTTTTGAATAAATAAAAAATACATCTAAGAGGTAAATATTTCCTTTGCAGATAAATAAAAAGAAAAATAGAAGTTTATGACAATGTTATACACATGATAACGATAAATTCTGAACGATACCGTGCACATTTTTGAAATATACGATCAAAGTTGAAATTCGTATTTCAATTCGCGAAAACACAGCACAGTTTGTTACGATAAATGATTAATTAAAATATGCAAAAATTTTATCCCTACATGATAAATTATGGAAAAGTTAAATCACGCGCACGTATAGCTTTTACATCTATTTATTTATAAATATAAATAAATGCGATAAAATCTTAAACAAACATTTTAAATGATAAAACGTAAAAGGATTTATTGCTACATAAAAATTGAATATGAGAACGGTCTTGTTAAAGAGAAAACATTACCAGACTGATCAACAAGAATTAGATTTTGAATATATTATGTGCGCATAGGGTAAACAAAGAGACGAGGGAAGAATCTTAATTCAGCGTGCAACTTGTAAACGTTAATTGACCGTTAATTCAATGAATGCCGACGATAATCCAATGGTTCACTTACCGCCATGCCACCGAATATATCGTCGAAACCGCTACTCGTGAAATTCCATCCTAAAGTAATTAAAACAGCCGCGTCATTGAAGCGCAACTTTATCGTTGTGCTCGTCGTCCTGCCCAACATCACTTCTGCCATTAGCACTTTCATCGTCTGGACCTCCTCTTACAATTAGAGCTCTCGATCCTTTGACACCGACACCAAGGATGGAGATCTTGAAGGACACAAAACAATTCGCGAATTAACATACAAATTTTTAATATTTAAGTCGTTTCGGATACCCGAGTATTAATTTACAGAAGGTTATTTGATGTAACGGATCTTTATATGCCGAACAGAATAGACCATCGATAACTACATATGGACGGGTGTCGTGTTTTCGAACAGCGTAAAGCCATAATAAATAGACCGCTTATTCTTACAATACACGATGAGCAAAACTTTGCATGACCGGGAGTGTAATAAAAGTATATACAGCACATCTTTTTCAAATTATCTTTTTCAATTAATTAAAACAAAATTAATGTAACTTTAAATATTACTTCTCTTTATTTTATGTAAAAAAAAAATGAATAACTTGTATGAACTTAGGAGCTTATAAAATATCCAGATATATAAGGCAAAGAAGTGGGTGAATTGTCATCTCATTGTGAACGTTTCATCTGCGGAAGTTACCTAATTCTCGCAGTGGAGTAACCAGTCGACTAAACCGACATCTCACCGTGCCTCGTAAAATTCGCCGGAATTATAAGAATTATTTAAATACCAGTACTCTTGTATCGAGATGTAAAACGACACCGCAATTTTTTATAATGTAATAACTATTTTTGATTAATTTTAAAATTCAGAATCTTAAAGTATCTCTTGTTTATTACATTATCTTTAAAATATTTTTTAAAATTACCCATATTTTAATACACAATAAACGAGACGTAGGCGTACAATGGTATTTTTCAAATCAGCATATAAATTTACTTTTTAAAACTGCAATATTTGTTCTAAAAATACAAAACAAATGTCTATGTGCTTATGTATTTAGATTTAGAAAAATGATAATGAGCTAAAAAAAGACAAAGAATCTAAAAAGAAAATAAAATATTACTCAATTTAATTATGAAAATCCACAGAACATGAAAAAAACTGTGTCTATATAGATTACGTTACAAAAGATACCATCCGAGAAGCTTAAAGCACATGATCAAGATAAAGAAATTCACTCTCACTTAGACGAATAACGAAGAGATAAAAAACTGCTATATTGTAATAGAAAATTTCTTTTTAACAGCATGTTATTTTAATGTTAATTGATAATATATACTATAACAACGGAATCGGCAAAACTATCTCAGTACGAAGGGAAAAATATAAGAAAATATAAAACAAAATAAATTCATCAAAGAACTTATTGAAAGTCTCATGATCGCCATTCCAACCGTCGTTTTGTCAAGACAACTCGGAAACAGGTAGCGCATTCCAATCGAACGTGCGACACGCTACCGCGCACGTGCGTGTCCGGCGCGTTTGTATGCGAGACAAAAAGAGCGTAAAAAGACTGCGCTCGACGTTTAGCGACCTGCTATGTACAAGGCGAGCGTCGGATTAAAAGCGGAATTAATTAACTCACGTGCATGTGTGATCCATTCAAGGTGTGCGCATCATACGGCGACTGTGTGCGCGCTTGTCGACACTTTATACGCATCCTTGCTGTTTGCATTGGTGATCGCAACGGACAAAGGAGATTGATCATCCGTTTCATTCGATTTCGCGGTGAGACTGCGCGCGAGTTTCCTTTTATCGGATTACAAATGAAAAAAAGTGCTGCCGCGTACGCGAACGAGAAGTGGCCTACACACGATGTGCCTGTGATGTGCCTGTAGTTGTAAATGCTTTATCGTAACGTAATCTATCCCGGATAAAATTTAACTGGCTACGAGATATTTTTTGTGCCTTGAATTTAAAATTATGAACATCAGAGCAGAATTTTCGAACTATCGTTGAACTTGAAAGAATAAATAGATAGCAAAATCGTGTTTGCTGATCTTATTAATTTTTTTCATTTATTTCGATAATAATATGTTTAAAACAATTTTAGGTAATTGTGTACATGGAGGTCACCTTATAATACTGACACAAACTGTTATATTTTTCAGTTATATTTGTTAATAACTATAAATAAATAACTGTTGGAAATGATATAAAGGCGGCACTCCTGTGCCATCTATAGTGCTATCTATATCTTACATAATTTTTGCCCTATCAAAAGAATCCCTTCTAGCTCTCTCTTATTCTGTGGTTGTACGCGCCCTGATTACTTATTGTAAAACGAAGATATTATTAAAAGGGGATATATACATTTATACAAAACGCTGCATCATATCTACCCATTTTCCTACAATAACGAGCGACGGCTTTACCTTCGATATGGACATCTCTCCGTATGGCGTTGCTTGGAATCGTGTGAATTTTCAACTGTGTGAATCGTGTGAATTTTGCGACACAATTAATAGTCGCACGAGTAATCATAGCGTTTTTCGTTATAGACACTACTTATATGCCTGTCTAAATTACTCTTCGTCGTGAATGTTTTGTTAAATTGTTAAAAATATCAGTAAATTGTTATTAAAAAATGTAAATTTCGCTTTTATATCTCGGTTTTTTCACGAATTATTTTGCGCCTGGATATATCTCATGATTGACGATGCGTTAATGTAACTTTGCAAATATTGCAGCAACATTTATGCACGAAAGGACTTCGGCAGCATTTTGACACGTTTAAAGAGCCATGCATTCGGATATTCATGGTATTCGATTTGAAGCAGAAACAAATTCGGTAAATGCATAACGGAAACGAAGCACGGAGGGATCGATCCGATCGATAGGCTCAAATTGTCGACGAGAACTACTGCGTCCACGTTTGAACTAATTATCTCAACCTCGTCGGGTTTTGAATCGAGTTTATTAAGTCACACCGCTGTAAGTGTTCAATATATTCTGAAATCGAGTAATCTGGAGGATGAACTCGGCAAGCTGAAAGTAGACAGAAAACTGTTGATGCAACGTGGCCAACGTGTGAAGGCAGAAGGAGAGGGTATAAAATTTTGTTTAATGATTTGTTTCACCAGTCTATAAATGGAGAAACCTTAGTAAACACTCCAGGTAAGTTACTAGGACAATATGCGTCTCCGTAACTCACAATACCGAATAACTAATTATCTCAACCACACTTCTATGCCATACCGACTGGCCTTCCGCCGAATTTCTCGCTGAAAGCGTCGTCGCTTTAAAATATCGCGATGTTTCGAACTCCTTCCGAGTCAGCATGAAGTGCCTTTATGGAATTTAAGAGTTCAAATAGAGTGGAAATATAAATTGCAGTGAAATATTGCATTTCCTCGACGGAATATCTCCTACGATTCAAATTTCAATCTAATCTGCACATACAGATAAACAATGTCGAAGGTTTTTTTCGTGCAAAGAGGCATCTTTGATCATTGCGAATAATTTAATAATTTATATTGTAATATTTTATTTTAATTATACAAAAGTATAATTTAAATTTAACATTTGAATGTAATAAAAGTATAAAATATTTTATACTTTTATATAATTTAAATATTAAAGACATTTGATTCTTAGAAATAATTTGTCTTTGTAATAAAATAGCATATACATATATATATATATATTTTTTTTTTATATTAAATATACATTTTATATAACAATTTCAATTATTTCTAATTTATTATGTTCCAGAACTTCCTGTAATTTATTTATAATTAATTACTCTTACTATATTATTATTTCTATTCATTGTGCGTCAAACATAAAATTATTTCAGACATTAAAATGTCATATAAATCATTTTGTTGTATATACCATCATTTGTATACTATTTTTTATTCTAATCGTGATCGAATTAATGATGAGTACTTTTTTGTTATTTATACAACAAATATATATATTAATTCATATTTAATTAAAATCTTCTGTTGTAAAATATTAAATTCATTTTAGAATTATTTAGTTATAGTGTCTGATCGACGATATGTACCAAAATGGTTATCCAATGCCAGCTATCTTTAATATACCGCAAATAACGTTTAGTGTCCGGAAGAGAGAGAGATAAAGCAAAAGGATATGTGTCATAAAAATATGTGTAGGAGATTGTGTACTTCAAATTCGCATCGGGACGCTGACGACAACGTAGAAAGTTAAGTCACGTCTGCGATTAAACAACGACATTAGATTCTGTTTTTTCAAGCGTGAAAACTAAATGTTTATACGACGCCGTCGGCTACGCTGCCGAGATAGAGAATAGCGCGCGGCTGCCTTCCACGACGTACATACGTACGTGTAATATATTCGGCAGAAATTGCGATTGCCCGGTCGGCGCCCTTCGAAAGCGTGGTAAACGCGTGCACGAATGCGAAATACACACGCACGCACGCAGATACAACGCGTGAGCGTGTTCTCCGTTTGTATAATTACGAGTTACGAGCGTCTGCTAATGTTGAATCTCGCAAGAATCGTGGGAGGAAATCGTGTTTCTCGCAGCGACGCGCGTACTTCGTAATAAGGTCGTCCGAAAAAATGACATAAAAAACGGCTCTTTTATCTCTTCAGAACCGAGTTCGACTAACGCGAACGTCAAGTACAGATAGCGATATCGTTATATGTGTACATATATGTATATTAAATGGTAATTATTTCATAAAAATAAAGAAACATTTTAAAAAAGGCAAATACGAATATTTCTTTTGTTTATACCTTTGAAAATTATACGTACATACGTGGAGTACATACTTGCTGGAACACTATTGTGGCTTCCACGATAATTCTCCGTTTCGTATCAATTAAGTAGTTCATATGAAAGAAAAATACAAAGATCAGGATGAGGAAGATAGACGATTTTCCATGCTCGTCTTGCAGGTTCTATTTTGTAACCGGCTTTTTCCGTTGTGTTTTATTTGGACGTTTTGGTGACGGCTACAATGGTAGAAATAAGTATTTTAATAACAAAAAAGTCTGAAAATTAAATTAAAAGTGACGCACTCCTTTTTCAAATAGATTAAATTACCTCTATGTTAAATCATCTTCAGAATCATCTTCAGAGTCATCTTTGATTAAAATATTTTTTCGACGTGATGAAGCTGTATTCTTCGTTATCTTACTCGCTTTTTCAGTAGATTCTTTTTTCGCTTTTTTAAGAATTTGTACATCATATTCATCATCAGAATCCATATCATCTAATGCTTTCTCAATATCCTTTTTATTACAACGTTTTTTGTCAATTACAACACCCATAGTACTTTTTCTTGAGTTCGCCATAGAAATGTTTGCACTTGAAACATCTAAATATTTCGTACAAGGACTCTTTCTGATTTCATTTATGGGTTTTTTAATTTTTTGTGGAGTATATTTAGAGGTAGCTTGTTGAGTTGCCACGCTAATGTTGTACAATTTTAATTTCCCATCCGGTTTATGATTCAGTTTCTTTATGCCAGCTATTAATATTTCTTTAAATTTTTCATAAGACGGTGTTTCATTAAATTTTATACTGGCTAGTAAAGTCATAAATTTATGTACAGCTTGTGGAACAGATCCATGAAAACACTTGGCCAGGAAACTGTCTATATTATTGAAAGCTTTTTCTTTTTGTATTTGAACGGCAACTGGTTCAAGTAACTTTTCCCATGGTAGCGAACCACATAACCACATAATTATGTTATAACTCACAATTTCAATATCTCCACGACGTGTTGGCACTAAAAAAAAGCAAAAAAAACATCTAAAGTATAATAATAATTTTTATAATTTATATTCAAAAGAAATTGATAAATTGCGTTAAGTATCAGAATTGCTAAATTTTATTGAAATTTCTAATTCTTACCTCCCATATGAGCATCTCTGCTTGTGTATTGTAAAGTACCGTAATGTGATTTTGTTGGGTCAACTTTAAATTCAGTGCTCGATGTCCAACGAGAAACTAAACCAAAGTCAATTAAATAGACTTGATCATAGGAATGCAGATCCAGTAGCAATTTTTCACCTTTGATATTGCCATGTACATAGTTCTTGTGATGAATATATTCCAATATATCTATCTAAAAATTTATTAGAATAACACATAAATTATCTTTTCTTCAAGCAGTTATTTACTACAAATATTTTTTTTACAATTGTCTTACTATTTGCAAAGCTAGTTTATACACTACATGTTCTGGAAACTGTTTGTTATTTTCCTCAAATATTTTCCATAGATCTTTTCCGTATCGATCTATTACTAAAAATCGATATTCTTTATTTTTATATTCATGACTTCCAGAAGCAACATATCTAGGGATTCCGAGCGCAGCAAGATCCTTTTTTTCCTGCCAGCTAACAACTAAAAAGACACTATATGTTTATCTCTAAAATATTTTTTTATGCAATTGGATAATGTTATCCGTAGACTGCAATTTTAAAAGAAATTAATCATGTAATAGAATGTTAAAAATAAATTTTACTTGTAGACTTACTTTCATCTGGCTTACATTGTCTCATATAAAAATGCATTTCCTTAAATAACGAGCTATTTCCTTTTGGTTCCTAAAACAAATTTTAAGAAAAAGCAAAGTTAGGATGAAAACTGGGGAAAAAGTATCAAGAATAAGGAGATAATGCTTACAATTTTTATAACATTAGGATAATCTTTAGGAATTTTTTCAGAATATGGTGCAGCTGCAATTAATCAATAATCAATTAATTACGTAGTACAATAACTAAAATATTTAACACTGCACAGACACCGCACAGTGTTGAGGAACATATTTTTAAGAGATATATCTTGTAAAAAAAATACAATATAGCTGGATATAGTTATGTAAGACATAATTAGGAAGTCTTTACGTGTCTTATGCAGATAACTGTGCATATAAAACTTGCAAAAAACAATATTTATAATTCTTCTTTGCGTAACGACTATCTAAATGTCTATAATAGACCTGTTTTCGAATATTTTGCCGTTTGTATTTACAACGCGGGGGCACAATATGTCACGCAATATAATAGCAACGGGCAACGGGATTCGTTTCACGTACCAGAGTAAATCTCCGCGAAACGGCCGACGCCGATCGACTTGCCGAGGATCCACTGACCCATCGCCATGTCCCTGAAAATCTCTCCGGCCGGTATCTGCTCGGGCATTTTATGACCTCTCGGTGATTTAATCGGTGATTTCCCTGCCATCGCGTCTTCGGATCGTTCAAAGAAATCAAAGATCAGCTCACTGGACGCGTCACGTAACAGAACCGATCGACAGATCGACAGATCGTGAATAACGTCACGACAATGCGAATAAATGCGAGACTTGACGACAGGCAACACAGGCAATTGAGTTTTGGGACATGATGAGTATGATGACCCCGACCGAAGGAATTCAAATGCTCGCGACTCGGCGGACGCCCCACCAACAAGCGCTGAAGTAGCTATACGCGCGCAATAATTCCGGTTGAGAGGGGAATTTAAGCCCCTTGCACAATAGGCGATAGCGATAGCGATAGCGACAGCAACAAGGTATAGCTTTATCGACAACTTTGTCGCTGTCGCTATCACTATCGCTATCGCCTATTGTGCAAGGGGCTTTACTAAGCTCCAACGCCGATGACGGCCGCCTCGCCGAAGGCTTCTTTTGCTTCTTTTTCGCAACTTTAACTTCAAATTTTTTGAATCATGGCGTAATGGAGCATTTTGAAGGCCGGGATATTAAGCACAAAAGGAATGGTAGGAAATGATTACCTTCTTGCGTCTGAAAAGGATGAGTTATTTTTTGTTGAACTGTATAATTCAATAAATCTGAAAGTTCTATACATATACATAGCCTTATAATTTACACAGTTGAGAAACTCTAAGTTATTGTCAAATATAAAAGGATAAAAAAAAAAGAGTTTGATTCCGTACTATTATTACGCGGCACGGCAAACAGTAAAGTTAATTGCTCACAGCAAAGGAGCTTTCAGTCGGAATTATCAAACGTCTACTTCCTCAAATATACTGCAGTTATTCATCAGAAGAGAGGAAAGGAAACGTGCGATTTCTTCGCCCCGAAAGAAAGGCGTCAAATTGAAAGGATCTTAGAAAAAGTGTATACCAGCATGCAATTATGCACAACTGGTTGATTCGGACCAATCAATTCTTATTCGCGATGTTGAATTGCGCGATTGAACCGATGGTATTACACAGAGAGAAAATTCCCCCTTCCCTCTCCAATGCCGGATAATTACGTAGGAAACTAAATTTAACGGATATTAATAGACTAAACTCGATGAAATTCTATATATTAAAAGGGGTGACGAAATATATGATTTGCGGACGAGCAATATCAGTTTGCAATTAATTAAAACATACATAAGATATTCTTTGTTGAGATAACCGAATTGCATTATCTAATTAAAGTTATAGCGAGTTGTAACTTTCTCAATTAGCGCGACTATAATATCGACTTACCGCATTATGGAAATCGCTTTTTTTTTATTCGTCCACGATTTCGTATCATTCAATGTCTATAAATAGCCTAATAATTTTTAATATATATGGACTTTAATAGTGCAACGCGTAATGTGATTTTAATATCGACGAAATAATACGACGATGCTTCAAAAAAGACCACTTAAAGCTGGATATATTTATTTGATCGTACAGATTAACAAATGGCAGTAATAAGGTAACTTATTATCTACTGTTTATAACAATTAATTAGCTTGGCATATTAAACCAGATAAGAGTCTCTAACAATTTTATATTTGTTTGATCGTACAAATTAACAAATGGCAGTAATAAAGTATCTTATTATCTACTATTTATGTGTCAAGACATGTGTTTCTCATACTATAGTTAAGAGCTGATAAGAATTTAGCCAGTGTTACGTACCAGCTCACGCATGAGCCAGGTCAAATGATTTGATGAGGAAGCTAGACAAAAAACTAAGATATAGACTGTTCTGAGGCTGTGTATTCGAATATGTATCTCAATTGAAAATATGTATCGTATAAATAAAGATCATACAATGAAAGTAAGCTGTATCAAATACAATGTAAAGAACAAAGTGATCAGTCCAAACAGATCCTTTCCTTGATATTTGTAACGTCTCTGTCTTGCAGTAATAATCCTCTGAAGGAAATAAATCTCGTAGTGTAGATCGACAATTATATGAAAGTATGAGACGTATCTTCATTTATCTGATTTTGAGTTGAAGTTATCGACCACCAATCGTATTAATTTCTATCAAGAAAAGGAACTCGTTTATCAAACATGAATAACAAAACATAATATATATGAAAGAATATACAGCAAAGATATCGATAAGCACATAAAGAAATAATATGCATAGAATCAATGTGTCAATTTAACTGCTCATAGATGATTATATTTCAGAAAACAACGTTCTTCAGTCTTCAAGAATAAATTTCTTCAGTAACGCAAGAGAGAATAAAATAAGAAAACTAAAAAGTAATCTCAGTGAATCATCAAATGTATCAAATGGCCTAATAATTTTTAATATATAGACTTTAACAGTGCAACGTGTAACGTGTTTTTAATATCGACGAAATAAGACGATGCTTCAAAAAAGACCACTTGAAGCTGGGTATTGTTTATATTTGTTTGATCGTACAGATTAACAAATGGCAGTAATAAGGTATATCTTATTATATACTATTTATATTTATTTGATCGTACAGATTAACAAATGGCAGTAATAAGGTAACTTATTATCTACTGTTTATAACAATTAATTAGCTCGGCATATTAAACCAGATAAGAGTCTCTAACAATTTTTTGTACATAATATGGATATAAATCTACTCGTTCTTACCTCATATTTAGATCAAAATGTGATCTATTCCGAGTTCTGTCTTTCTAGTAATAAGATCGTTTGTGTTTCTCATAATGAAAACAAAATATCTGAATCTAGCATTAGAAAAACATATCTTCCAAAGATTGATTTCATCACGTTTAAAGATTAGTAGCAGCTTCAGCTCTCTAGTATACATAAGTACTTAAAAATAAATTTGGCTGGTTAATTCCAGTTATTTTATACGTAAAGATATAGGCAGTGTTAAATTTGCCGTCAGTTCTATGTCCATCACCTAACGTAAAAGTTTCAGACGGCAGTTTCGTTTATGATTTAATAGAATATATCTTTTCATATTCTCGATCAGACTTTAGATCGTATTCGTATTGTCGTACCATGGCGGCATCCATCTGGATGGCGTTTTAGGTCTTCCTCGAGAGACCGGTACCGGAACATCGAGGCTTCTGTCGGTACGTTTTCTGCGCTCGCTACTTCTACCTGATACGCTCTTCGAGGCGTTATCTAAAATTACGAATGGTTGATCGTTAACGCGACGATCTTGCCTAGCTCTGCCGAAGCTCGGCGAATATGGTCTCGCGACGTCGTCCTGAATCACACGGTCGGTCGAAGGGCTGCGTACTCTTCCGGAAGACTGTCCGAGTCGACCGAATCCTCGCCGTTCATTGTCGACATCGCAGACGTGCAGACGATACGTTGGACTGGGAGATCGCGTTCTCGTGACAATCGCACGATCCGTCAGTTCCAATTGCGTCGGTCTCGGCGCCGCTGCGGCTTGAGACAACTTGGAGCTTCTGAAAATCGCAATTGCAAAAAGTTTTTTAAAAGTTTGTAAATAGCAAAGTAGAAAGTTTTCGAATTCAACAAGATATTAGATCCACGAGATCTTTTTACGTCTCTAAATTCCCGAAGAAAAGATGTTTAACATTAATCTCGTAATTTACATTCGTTCTCCTCGTTCTCAGATACCGATAAATGTACCTTCTACTAGCGGGCGGCGGTTTCCCAATGACATTATCTTCATGGATCCGCGTGTCTAATACGCAAAAAGCGTCCTGTCCCTGCGCGACGTTCATTTTGTCGCACCGACCGCCACTGCTCGACCAGTAATGCTCTTTCTTTGTTGGACTGCGATCGCTCCTGCCGTAAGTAGTTCTAAGTTCATCGGAACCTTGACGATCGTATCTTGCGCAATAAACGTTCCTGTATTCCGGCTGAAGCTCAAGATTACCCTCCAACCGCAGATTAGCCGGCATCTTCAGCGTTTCGACCCTCGGTACGTATCCATAGGGAACATACTGCGATCTCACCTCGCTAGTAGGCTCATACTCAAACGCACGACATTCCTGATGAGTCGGTTTGCCGAAGCACACGCTACTACGACCGGAAGAAGACACTCCCGTCGGTCGCAGCAGCGCCGGTGGTTTACGGTAGATTGGACGATCTCGGGGATACTCGAGATACTTGGACTGATACTCTGGATCCTGGTCGATCTTTATGGAAAACTTGGAGCGCGATGGCGAGGTCACCTTTGAGCCATCAGCGCGACCTATCTCGACATCCGGCTTCGCGATCTTCGGTCGTTCACGTGGATAATCCTAAAAATTGTACTCTATGTAATTCTATATCACAGTTCTATGTATTCTATGCATATCTTATATTAACATAATTGAATATAGATTTTAATTAAATTAATTTTTAAATCTAGCAAGTACCTTGTATGCGTCACGATACTCGGGAATTTCCAGCGGCCGACCATTTAGATCTTCTAACTTTGACACTAACATTTTCATCTCCTCATCCTTCCGTCGCTCCTCCTCCTCCTCCTCTTGACCTCTCATCCATCTGGCTTCTTCATTATTGTCTTTAGCCCGTTCAGCCATTTCTTGTGCCTGTTTAACGCAAGGATGAACGAAATTTTCGGTGCTCTCTGTGTTTTGGTAAAAGTCTCCCCCAGCTTTTAAATGTATCTGAGGTTTTTGTGGCTGCAGTTTATCTGTAATATGCACTCCAAAGAAAAGGGAATGACGATAGGGAAAAAGAATAACTCTAAGCAGAGCAACTACATTTCGCTAAATATATTTTAAATAGAAACTTTAATAACATTTTTGTAACTCATAGCCATAAAAGAGAATCTTTTTTTTTAATTTAAGTATCTTTTTAATGACATTCTTTTATTTAATGCCATTTGATACATTATTTTTGTTATTAAATCTAATGCTATTACCTTTCACGCTGTGGTCTTTAAACACATCGGTATATTCTGGCACGAAGTAGGTATCTCCCTCGAGCCTTAAGTTCGTGCTTCGCCTCAACAATTCCGGCCTTCGTACCCCCACGAACGGGACGTAGTTGTCCTGATTTTCCGTCGCCGTTTCCAGCTCACCCTCCATCTTCAGGTGAGTGGGTACACGCATGAGTTCCGGTCGGCTAACGTTGAGCCACTCGATAAATTTCTCGCATTTCTCCGTCATAGTGTCCAAATCGCCTTCCATTTTCAAGGACGTAGGTCGACGTATAAGCTCAGTACGATGCTGGCCCTCATAAGGCCTATACGCAGAATATGTTTCCGTATTGGTATAAAAATCACCCTCGCACTTCAAGCTGGTACCCCTTTGCGCAATTCAACAACAATGGATTGTTAAATTAATAGATGATTAAACTACTAAGCAAGTAGACGATTAAAATGCGTCGATTATAACAATTTGAAATGATTTCCATTTTTTTTAATTGCTTCAACTTCTTTGATAATATTAATATTCAATTATCGCGATTAATTGCTTCAAAAATTTAGATTGCTCAATGTAAAATTATATTTTAATATGTTATTTTAAGTAGGATTATTTTTGTATTATGCATTATTATAGAAAATTTAATTATTTGCTTGGATTGACATCTCAACAAAAGGTAACTTATTACGTAGCCATTTATCATAAATTGCGACACTTTGAATTGTATGTCCGTATTTTATTAAATGTCACGGAGATCCGACAAAGAGTATAAAAGAGCGAAAAGCCGATTCCGTTGGCAATTTAGTTGCATGACAGTCAGTTTTATGCTTCTTCGATTTGCGTAAACTCGCGTGTTTCGGGATAGTTCGATACGATAAGTTTGCCGATTTATGACGGGTAAGAAGTTTTCGTGAAATAAACTGAACTCTGCTAAACGAATGGCTAAGTTGTAATTGGATATCAATCTGCGATGTAATGTAAGAGTATTTTATAGCATTGGCTCTATAATTTTACAATCTATGTTTTACTAAAAATTATATTATCATTTACTATTATTAATATACCAATATATTATCTATTAGCAATATATCGTTATATTTCCTACTTACTATTTGCAAAAATATCTATTTTTATTGTACGCGATTTCATAATTATGCTATAATTTATATCAAGCAATAAGTAAAGGTTTACCTTCTGAACGATGGACGTCTGAATGAACTTTCGAATTGCGGAACTCCCGTCTCCATTACTTCGTTTTCATGAACCACTTGGGCGGAATCACTCTCCTTTTTTTCAGATGGATCCTCGATCTCAGCTTCGTGTTCTTTAAGATCCATGCAATACGAAGATTGCGCATTTTCGGGAGTTCCATCTACGCGTATATAATCCTCAGGCCAGAAATTTTCCTACCATAAAAGTACATATTTAAATATAAATTATTACATAATCTTCTAGTGCATATAGAGTATTAAAGAAAGTAAATTCACACAACTCATTAGGGCTGCTTTTCTTATTGCTCACAAAGAGCAAAAAAATTTTGAATTACAATTACATAAACTCGAAAGTCAATATTTCTGGTATAAAATATAATTCTGATAATTCTCATAAAATATAATTTTTAGTTCCAACAACGCAAATAAATCTCTTTTGTATACTTACCTTTTATCTAATACAAAGTAATATAATACCGTGCACATTATTTTGCTAAAAACTTTGTCTTTTAATTAATTATAATATAATTTAAAAATTATCTACGTTTTATTTCATTAATTGAAGAAATCGAGAAATGACGAAAAAATTCCTTTCGAAAGAGAGAGTAAAGTACATTTTTTATGGATACCTTAGAGAGCTCTTTAACATTCGCACCGAACGCGCGTTGATATTCAGAACCGGAACACTGGTCTTCCGATTCCGGATGAGACTGCAGATTGTCCTTCGGTCGATCCTGCACGCGTTTCCTCCGATAACGGGCCAACTCGTCGACCGTCAGTTCCTCGAGAAACGGCCATCTCTCCTTGGTCTTGCTCTTACGCCCTTTGCCCTTGCCCTTACCGTGCGCTACCTCGGAATCCGAGGACGCCTTGCCGACGCGGCGAGTGGAGGGTCTTTGCCTAATTGTAGTCGGTAGGAAAATGACACCGTTTAACAGTAAATTTTATTTACAGATTTTTAGATAATATTCTATCTTTTCGTTTTGCTTTTAAAGAAAATAATTTGTCAAGTATCTTTTTTATAGTTTTCATATAAAACTTCGCTAATTTAGACCACCGGCTTGACAGATATTCCGAGCGGACAGGACAATTCGCGACATGACGCGGAGGGACAACCTGAGCTTACTGAAGATGACGAAGAGCCGAAGTCGCGAATTAAGGATATGGGAGGGCGGGCCGCTTGCAACGGCGAGGAGGACAAGGAGGACAGGGAGGACGAGGAACAGGAAGAGAGTGGTACGATGGTACCGTACATGCCGTTACAACGGCTCTCCCAGACGCGACGAATCGATCTGCAAAATGCGCGGAGCTAGAAAAATAAATCTCATCCTGGCCTAATGGCTCGCGCGCACGTCAATCCTCGCGAAATTATGTCGAAGATAAACATGATATGCGCAAAATGTCGCCGAAATGTCGCAATTCGGATTACGATCAAAATCGTACAATAAAATTCTAAAACCCGCTTCTTTAATAATAGTGTTCTGAAAGAAGACATGATAAAGATGATCGAGAATTGAGATGATTAATATAATCTTTATAGTTATTAATATAAACTTAAATAAATAAACTATTTTAAAAGAAAAATTGTGTCGAAAATTATACGTTATTTGTTTTGGATAATGGTTTCCATGCAAAATATATAAATAAATCATGTTTAAAAAAAAAATTTAATTAATGTCAAGTGTAAATATATGTATAATAAATGCGTAAAATAACATGTAAAATAATGTATATAATAAAGCGTAAAATAATTCATATAGTAATGCGTATAATAAAACGGTAAATATAAGCTAATATGTAAGCTAAAACAATCCACTTATTATTATTTTCATTTTTTTTTTATTCTATTCTTTTTGAACTTCTATTTCTAAATACACGCGTGCCATCCGGTATTTGCCCATTTAATCAAGGGATTCCTTAATACATTCGTTGCACTGCCGGGCCCATCTTAGGCCTAGGACCGCAACAGAATTTAAAATGGTACCCCCATTTCACCTCGTATCCGTCGTTGAGAACATTGTATTCGTGGAATTCATAATTATATAAGTGTAGTCCAACATCTAATGTTCTACGAAAAGCTGATCAGGCCGGATAGCCTTGATCCACTTCGAGCTAACAACAAAAGGAAAGCCGCCGATAAAAATAGAGGAAAGAAAGTTCAAAAGAGGCAGTACGCACAGTATAGGAACGGATCTCGCGGTCTCGCGTTTAGAATAAATAGAGCCATTGTAAAACTCGATTAAAAGTGACTTTTATTAAAGTGTTATATCAAGGAAAAAAATGTTCTAATTGTCCCTGTCACTCCCCCGCAGCTATCCGGACCCCAGAGTGCCGGAGCGGCACAAGACGCCCAACATGTCGTCGCGAAAAAGATATTACATTCAACGTGGTAACGTGGCCGAGCGGTCTAAGGCGCTGGTTTAAGGCACCAGTCTCTTCGGAGGCGTGGGTTCGAATCCCACCGTTGCCAGATATTTTTTGCTTCGCGACTGAAAAAAAACTTTTGCAATTATATCGCACGCTATACGTAGAGATTTTTCCTCCCCTCCGCTTTACACCCTTCCGCATAGGAAATTAGATAAAGCGAATCGACAATTTGGATCTGACAAGCTTGTTTCGGCGCCGTTTTGCTCGGCAAATTGTATCGTTTTTGTTTTTTTTTTCTCTTTCTTTTCTTTCCTCTCTTTCTCTCCCTCGCAGCTCGCTCGTTCACCGTGCTCCCTGGTCGATTCGTAATACCGAGGTTTCGTTTTGCTCGACCCAATGGCCCCGATTTTAACGGATCCTACCCTACCACCACGACTTTCTCCGCACGACAAATCTGTATGCGCGGCTAAATTAATGTCCGCGCCACGTGGTCGCACGCACTTGGCCGACATGCGATTCGACGTGCTGCCGGACCCGCCGGCCGGTCAGTTATTCTACGGTCTTCGTGCGTGATTCAATCTGAACGCATTTTACAGAGGCACCCTACGGTGGCTTGCACGCGAGCTTTCCTTGGGAGGAATCCAGGCCGTGGCCATCAAAAGTCTCACCTATCTCTTCTCTTATCGCCACACGCTTCACAAATCAGTAGGCGCTAATTAGATGCGCAAACGGATCGAATTAAATATTTTATTTGACGATACTTTAATCATTATCTGTATACTATATTTATCCCCTAATCTCAAAATACTGCATCGCCACGTATAACTGTGATGGAATACCTTTTTACCGCATTACTTTGTAAAATTAATGCAGTAAACGACATCCATCTCGTTTAAGCTATTAAATTGTCTAGGCGTGATCTAACGATATCGGGGTAAATGGGATTAAACGGCGATGATCATTTAGTTGAAAGCACACCTGCGAAGTGCTTGCCACTTATCAAATTGAAAAAGATTCTCAAAAGTATCGCGCGAAAATGGTTAAATTAAGTTAATATGATATCGATGACCATAAATCTTCAATGTCGATTAATAGATTGTTACTTATGACCATCTAATTGTGGATATTCCATGTATTACACAGAGCACGTACAATGCCTTACATATTGTAAAATGTGCTATACATTGACGCAACACGTTTACTATTTATAAAATGTATTTTATTCTTGTCTATCTGCATGTTACTGTAACTGCATTTTACTTACTTACTTATAGAAGAAAATTCTTCAAAAACAAGAGAAAAATCAAATAAACTAATGAAAATAATAATAATAAGTAAGAATTTAAGAAAAAGGTTTAAGAAAGAATGTTAAAAGTAATCACCACAGTCATTTCTATCAAGATCTTAATGTATTATCTCAATACAGAAAAATGCGGAAAGGGAAAGTGGTGAAAACATTATTTTTCATTCAACATTACGAAAAGTTTATTTTAATCGGCGGTTGTTCCTTATATATAAACCATTTGTTTAAACAAGAGAAAAATAAATTTTGGATAATTGCGTACAATATTATTATTTTTGACATAATACTGACGTTTTAATCGGACTAATGTCTTTACGTCGCGAATTCGGTGATTTAATTCTTTGCAGGAATAAGCACAGCAATACGAGTGAGTAAATAATTATTTTACACGTCCGAGCTGAGGGATTAATTAAACGGCGTAACGTGTACACTTCGATCGAGTGGCAAGAAGCAGCGCGAAATGTTACCTTTTGCCGGGACGGTCGCTTTTGCCTTCGCCCATCGCATCGTCCTACCCAACGATTGCCCTTTCGAAGGATGCGAGGTGGTGATGATCGAAAAGAGCGGGGGGATGATGTATTGTCTCCGAACCGATATTCGCGGAAAATGAAGAAAAGGGAAAGGTGCGAAGAGGAAGATGTAAAGCGAGCCAGACCTTCCTTCTGGCGTGACTGGCTTTTCGGAGATGTTGATAAGAAGGTGAGCCGGTGCGATACACCTGCGCAGTTGCGAGGGTTGATCCACCCCGCGGTAGGGTGGTGAGGAGGTTTTGAGACGCCGAGTTAGGTGAACCTGTGGAATAATATAGATTGATAAAAGAAAACAATAAGGCACAATTTCGGTCGTGAAAACGCTCAATCAAGTTAAAATTGGCTCATAATTCAGGAAGTTTGTAACGAAAAAGTGTTCAATCATACTTGAAAACATCTCGATAATACTGTTGGACTATAATGACATTAGTATTTATCAGATATTTTTTACGATTTTTTAAACGTTCTGAATTATTACGTGATAAGTCTTATTTTTATTATTCGATGTTGTACTATCAGTGTTTCACAGACCAAAAATTAGATCCCCAGACAACATGTGTGTCCCTTAAAACAAGACGTTTTTAAGACTTTACCAAGAGACATCTTAAAAAGCCTTCAAGACGTCTGAAAGTTATCTTTTATAAAACTTGTTTAAAACTTGTACGCTATTTACATTACCGACTGTAACATTTATTGATTAAAATTCGTTAGTACACAGTGAAGACTTTCGCCAGGGTGAGGTCGCCCATAGGCGCTGTTAGCAGTCAAAGGGTTAAAATGTAAAACTTCGAAAATAATTTCGTAGGATTTACGATGATCGAGTTAATCTACGGACACCAAGCGACATTACGACTGTAACTTTTTTTTTATTTCCGTAGGAAGAGGGGAAATGCCTCGCGCATTCAACCGGGGGCCGACCACCCGGGATATGTGAGGCTTGCATCCACTAAAACTCCTCTCTCTTAAACACAGCACGCTGGACATACAGTCGCGATACGCGGAACCGCACATGGTATTACATTACGAATCACGACAGCTACGACTGTAACTACTGTCACAACCCCCAAAGCCTACCTATACGTACAACGACTACGCGCAAGAATTGAAAAAAAAATTACGTGGTACACAACAAATCGCGAAGAACCATTTAAAAAATGAGAAAATTAAAGCCAGAGATAATTACGACAAAAAGACGAAAAGTACCGCATTTAAAGTAGGAGAAAAGGTTCTCTTACACGATGAAACTGTTGCAGATCGCAGATGACGATCAAAGAAATTATACTCCCTATGGATAGGACTCTATACAATCACCGAGAAAAATTCGGATGTAAACTACACTATCAAAAAGGGAAAAAAAACACTTCGCCTAAACGTCAAT